GGATATACATTTGCATTTGCAAACCGAAGAATAGTATGAGAAAACAAAAAACTAAATTAGCAAATATGGCTTGTTGCTTACTGGTTGGCATTGCAATGTGTTTACTATGAGGAAAGTCGGAATTGGATAGTCAATTTCTGCGCATATCTGCTGCGACCAAATTTGCCAATATGGTAAGTGTGTTTTCATAAATTAAGTTTAAACTAAAGCAAGCAACTGGGTGGCTCAAAAAGTAATGCTAATAAGAGAGCACAGGAAAAGAAATCTGGAGGAGGGTAACAAAGGTATGGTACACTAAATAAGTGGAGTAAAGCACAATCAGTATATAGCATCCTAAAAACTGAATCTAGGACCATTGCAAACCTGTAGTACAACTGAAATTTGGAGGACCACTACTTAGGAGGTCCAAATGTTCTTATTTTTAGTCTGGCAACGGGAGTTTTTTCTTCTTCTGAATATACGGAGCAGGAGCAGCTATGCAACTGATCGTGCTAACTGGGATGACGCCACCTTGAGGACCTTTCTGGAACTAGTGATAGAACAGAAAAACCTATTGCACTGGAACCAGAAAGGCCTCACAACCCTCGGTTGGGCAAATGTGTATCCAGCATTCGAACAGACTACCAAGTTGTCGTATGATAAGAAACAGTTGCAGAACAAGTTCAACGACATGGAGCGGGCATATTTTACTTGGCGCGACCTTTAAACCAACACTGGCCTAGGCCGTGACCCCCGTACAGGAGGCGTCACAGTTGACCCCTCGTTTTTTGAGGGTGGCAATGGGGTACTAACTTCTAACCTTATTCCTTTCTAACCCCCTGACTACCAAGTACTAGGGATGTTCCCATTCTACTCGTTCTAACCAGTTGACCCATGCCACATGTGCAGAAAAATAGCAAATATGTGGTGGAGCGGACCAAAATTTCTAAATGCCTTGACCTACTGATCACTCTTTAGGGACACACCCGACAGGGGGACGTTGCTCTCTTCTGGTGGACATCACCGCGAGAGGACACCCAGTACTAATAGCCTTGATACTCCACACGACATGTCCCAGGAGCTCGTAGATCTCTAGAGTGTTGGTCAGTCCTCCAAGAGATCCACTAGGGAATACTCTGTCAACAGCCCTCCTAATAAGAAGAGTGCTTTGATTGACCATAAGCTGCAGAAGGCCCGCACCAGCAAGCAGGAAGAGGAGATGGACAAAGTGAAAAAGATTTTGAAAGAAGATGGTTTGCTAGAGTCTGATGCTATGTTTGCTCATGCTTTAATTATTTGCACGAACACACTACACCGTAGGAACTTCCTGACCATGGAAACAAAAGAGGGGCGCCTGAACTTTCTGCAGATTTGCTGGGAGGACAGGAGATCCAGATCCAAGCAGATGTTATAGGAAGAAGCGTTTCCACTGCGGCAGTCTATGTAGTTTTATTTTTCAAATTGAGTTGTACTCTGTCGTGGATAATATTTGTTTAAGTTGCATCGCTGTAATGTGGCCGGTGGCCTGAACTTTGTGTGCTGTTTTTTTCTGAATCAAAATAAAATGTGATCTGTGATGTACATATCTTTGTTCAACATACATTTCATTATTTGATGTGTTCTGTGGTGTACTGGGTCTGCATTTTGCAGGCCGAGGTAGCTGTTGCAGTCATCACCGAGTCCGCAGGTATGAATCCTTCTCCACATTTGTGTGCACATAGTCAGTATATGGTACTTGAGTCCTAAATTGTTGTTAATTGGTGTTGTAGGTTCACCTGTAATTGCTACCAGAGTATCACTATTAATTGGTGTTCTAGGTTCAGCTCTCTTGTAATCCTTCATTGGTTCCTAAACAAGACAAGACTCTATTATTGTACTATTGCAAACTGCAGACCCTTCATTTTGACCCAACCAATTCGAAGGTTCGTATTCGATACCTAATCAACTAATACCTTCAGAATCAATTCGTATTTAGGACTAATTCATGTTCTTGCAGATAAGCAGCACTGAGGAGTCCAACAACAGCGACAACTCCAGTGAAGGACCCAACAGCAGCACTGAGGTGTTGAACTTCGCTGCTGCTGTCCTGCTTGCTAGGTACAAAGCAGCAGTGGTGAATGCGGCTCCAGTGGTGAACCCGGACCTCCCCTTCCCGAAGATGACCGGGCGACGGTGGATGGAACTCAATATGCGAAACGAACAAAAGTGCATCGATAACTTGCGTATGTCTCATGCTGACTTCAAGCATTTGCATGACATTTTACTTGGTTTGGACTGAAGGGTACACGATAGACATCATCCCTAGAAACTTTAGGTATATATCTGTGGACTTATGCTCACAACCAAGCAGTTAGAAGGAGCAGGGATAGATTCGAACGGTCTTTAGATACAGTGAATAGGAAGGTTACTCATGTCGCCGAGGTTATCTGTAGGTGGGCAGACTCTATTCTTGTTCCAGCTGATAGCACTTATGCTGGAGTGAAATGGCAACTTGGATCATATGCACCATTCTTTGATGGACGCATTGGGGCTTTGGATGGCACTCACATTAAACTTAAGGTGAATAAAGAGGCCAAAGTTGACCATATAAATAGGAAAGGAGATGTAACAATTAATGTTTGTGCCATTGTCGATATGGATGGGCGCTTCACATATGTTGGTGCACGGATGGCGGGGTTGGTGCATAACATGTCGGTCCTGAAATAATGTTGGGAGGAACCAAACTTTCCGCATCCACCACACGGTTAGTGAGTACTGACATGCAAATGTTGGACCAACATTTTTTAGTTGCTGGGGCAGAAAAGAAAAAACTAATTGTGGAAATGGTTCATGTGTTGCAGGACGCTACTACCTGGTGGACGCGGGATATGCACTGGAGTCTGGATACATGGGTCCTTTAAAAAATACAAGGTACCATCTAGATGATTTTAGGGGTGTACCTGTTGAGACAATGTCTCGACAGGAGAAATTTAACTTAACTTATTCTAGGCTACGCAGTATCATCGAACGGACATTTAGGGTACTGAAAGGCCAGTGGCACATTGTGAATGGGGTACCTTAAAGCCATAGGGTCAAGCAAAAGATGATTATTATGTCATGCTTTGCATTGCACAATTGTTTGTTCATTCGGGAGCATGGATTTGGTTCGCCTACCTACCCACCGTCTGCCTGGGTGGAGCTCAATGCAAGTAATACTATGACAACAATGAGGGAGTACATATCTTTGGGTCTCTGGAGAGAATGATTATGCAAAGGTGATGTAACTTAGGATGCAAAGTAGGTGAATTAAAGATAGATGGTCTGTGGTTTGGAATTATATATGTATGATACTTGGTGGTGCATGCAGGCGAAGAACGAAGGTGAAGGTGTATGTGCAGCTGCAGGTCGTATGTGGACTTGTCCAGTCGAAGACTTGTCTGTGCAGTTTGCTTTGTGGCTTCATGAAGGCTACAAGTTTTGTAAATGTTGCATGTATGCCTAATTGTATAATGTTGGAATGGTCCAATATATAGGTAGTGATATGTTGTATTAATTTGTTGTCTGAAATATTGAAATGGACTGTAATTCGAACCTATTGAGGCATGCAAGAACTGGTATGTAAACTTGGCAAATAATCCAAGTTCAACTGGGTCAATGTTTGTAATGTATGAAACTTGTGGTGTTCAATTAAGGCCTTGTTTAGATTGAAAAAAAATTCAATCCGATGAATAGTAGCACTTTCGTCTTATTTGATAAATATTGTCCAATCGTGGACCAACTAAGCTCAAAAGATTCATCTCGTGATTTCCAACTAAACTGTGCAATTAGTTATTTTTTTTACCTACATTTAATGCTCCATGCAAACGGCTAAAAATTGATGTGATGGAGAGAGAGTGAAAAAACTTGAAATTTTGAGGGTATCTAAACAAGGCCTAACTTGTTTGTCAACTGTTGTATGCATGTGGCAATGGCATGCCTTATTGTTTGGCGCCAAAATTTGAATTTATTTAGTGACAACCGATTCAAATTTGAATGCTATTTAATACTCATGTGTACAGCCTGGGCTGGGGCTTCTCTGTTCGGCTGAAGCTGGCTGATTCAATAGTGTTGGCTGATCAGCAGTCCTACCAGCCCATTCCAAATTTATACCAGCCGAACAAAACGAAAGATCTTTATAGATAGATAGATGTAGATACCGTTGGTACCTATGTTTTCACAGGATTTTCATAGGAAAAAAACATCCGCTGGAAGCTCTTTGTTTCATTTGCTCACGCATAGGAACGAGGCAAATGATCGTGAAACGATCAAATCAATGCTTTTGCTGGTGTGCTGATCCACATGTAGGTGGCATTCGTCTAACAGATGATGTTTTTTCTCTATAAAAACACGTTGTCACATTCTTAGTTAAACCAATCCTATATGATTTGTATTCCTTTGAATTTCCTATGTCCATCCAAACACCTACTCATACAAGTTTCCTATGTTTTCCATTCTATGTTTTGCAGTTGCAATCCTACGAAATTCATGTACTTGTTCTATTCCTGCATTTGTATTCCAAAGGGGGTCTAACTATTTTTATTTTTTTTTCTCACTCAACAACCTATGGAAGCTCATCTAGTCTAGAAGATCCAGCCCCTCCCAGCTAGACAACCTAATGCCCAGCCCCTCTTACCTGTAAATCTGCCACTATCACTCGTTATTATGCATGGGGGTGGTTGCTCCACGGAGCGAACCGCAACTGATCCAGAGATCCATTTGATTAGCGCAGGAGGAGCACCGGATGCTCCCTTTTTATTAGCTGCTGAAGCTGAACCAATGGGGCCCGGTGGATATTACGGATCGGTCGACCATGTCACGGTATCACGAAAGGCGAAAGCCGCCAAGCACGAGCGGAGTGGCACAGCGGGTTCAGATATTCAACTCTTCAAGCGGCGGGCAGCACGTGAAGATGACGTGGTCTGCAAGAGACGACGGACGGCGGAGATGAAGCGGCGAGCCGCAGCTCGTGCTCGTTGTGCGCCGAGACGAAGCGGTCGCTCTCGATGACGCCACGCCAGCTACGACAGACGGACTTGAGCCTCCCGAGCGTGCGAGTTGGAAGCCGGCACAGAGCCATCGACAGCGCCTGCAGGTACGACGTCGACGCGAAGAGGACGTCCTCGTACGGCCGGCCAACGGTCTCGAGGCTCTCCTCGTACAGGTCGTCGTCTGCGCAGTAGCCACTGCCGACAAATTTTTATGTCAACTTGTAGAAATTTTTACAATGGGAATGACAGTTTCTTTAAAATACTAGCTATAGAAACTGCTATAGTTTCTTGTATTGGGATTGCCCGAGAAAACGGTTTCTAAACAAGAAACCGACTCTACTCTTCTATCGATGCGGAAGAAAACAACATCTACGACATTAGGGATGTACTCCGTGGTTTCTATCGAGCTTTTTAGATCCGGTGCGCCCTCCCCTTCACCCCTCATTGCCACCATGGCCATTCCCTTCACATACTCCCCATCGCCGCCATGGAGCCCTGGCCGCGGCCTCGACGCTTGCCTCCACGCGCGCGACCATCTCTTCCCTTGCACTGAGGGCGGCCACTCCCTCTCGCCAATGCCCTCGGCAGCGGCCCCCTCCCTCTCACTGGTGCCCTAGGCGGCGGCATGGCCCGACTCGTGCGGAAGGTGCCCCTCGGCAGTGACACGACCTAAGCCCGCGTGGAGGCGCGCCTTCACAGCGGCGAGGCTAGCCGCGTGCGAAGGCCTTCTTCCGAATGCAATGACCGGGGCTATCTTACCGGCACAGGTAGAGTTTTTTTTATAAAGGTAAAGATAAGTCTAAGTCAAAACAAACAAGGTGCCATACGTTCACACACAAAAAAGTATAATTATCATTTTTTAAGAAGTCAAACAGTATAAGGTTTGATCAAAGTTGTACAAAAAAAAAACATTTACAATACAAAATATGTGTTATTAAATTTATTATGTAACATATTTTTCTAGTAGACCTACTTGGACATAATGTTAGTCCTATCTATCTATCTATCTATATATTATATTATAGAGAGGTATTTAATCTTGGTGACCTGCACTGTTGGACAGCAGCCTGTACTTCCCTCACATTTCCCTGTTTATTCTACAGTTCCATCCTATTACCCGTCGGATTCTGCAGCCCGGCAGCCGGATGGCCGCCACGCACGCGTCCAGCAGGCCCACCCTCCCACGCTATCCCAGCGGATTTTTTTTTTCGCGATTCACCCTATCCCAGCGGTCCAGCCCCTCACGAACGCCACCACCAGCACCAGCCTCAATCACACCTCAGCGGTCTCGAAAAAAAGAAAAGAAAAACGCAGCGACGACGGAACCGAGAAAACCCGCCGCTCCTGCAACCTCCGCCGGCCTCGACGCGACACCGACGGAGCACCGCCCCACCTGCGCCCTCCGGCAGCCGCGGCGTCGCCCCGCAGCAGCGCCGAGCCGCCTCCACCCACCTCACCCGCGGCTCCGGCGGCGCACCATCGCAGCAGCTTCGCCGCGGCGCGGCGCCGCAGCAGTGCCGTCGGGTTTACCTGCGCGGAATACCAGCGCCTCCCCCATCCCTTCTCCCCCGCGGTACCCGTCCACGTCTCAGCCGCCGCCGCATGTGCTCGCCCTGCTTTTCCGTATCCCAAGGTGACGACGACTACTGCGCAGCAGCGCGCCACCGTAAGCCGGGTGCTCAGGTCCTCTCGACGGGGCCTTCTTCGGCGACGGGCGCCCCACCAGGTATGCCGACCCCTTCTGTTCCCTTACTGCTGCGCGAAACCAGAGCGCCCAAACCCTAACATATGCTATTTGGCTATTTCTATTCGGATCTCATCTGATTACTGATTTTAGAAGTGTGTTATGCCTACTACCCGCTTCGATTTTTTCATACATATTATCGACCAAACCCTAACCTATGCTATTTGCCTATTTGTAGTCCGATCGCATGTGATTAGAATTTACAGGTTTGTTACGCGTACTACCAGCTTCAATTTTTTCCCCAAAAATTATCGACCATGCGTGCGTGTGAATTTGCAGAAATCCCCACCTCAACCAGGTTTTGCCGCATCGGACCTGGGTGCGACAAATTCGTCCAATCCTTGATTCGTAGAAATCCCCACCTCAACCAGGTTACGCCGCATCGGACCTGGGCGTGACAAATTTGTCCAATCCTTGATTCAAAGAAATCCCCACCTCAACCAGGTTACGCCGCATCGGACCTGGGTGCGACAAATTCGTTCAATCCTTGATTCGTGCGCCTGCCTGCTCTGCTCCATTATCTACCAGTGTTCAGCTACATTTATGCAGGTCAGGGTATGTATGACTTCACATGTATCCTGTGCTTCATGTGTCTGCCAGTATGCCAGTAGAGGGCAATTTGTGGATCCCTGTTTTCAGCATATTCACACAAAGTTGTGCAAACATTTCTTAGGATGGCCTGCGGACCCGCTTTCATCCAAAATCTTATCCATCCATCCAGCCCTTCACCCGACCCTCACCAGGATGGCCTGCGGACCCGCTTTCTCTGAACGCGGGGATGCGTCTCTTTGCACGACTCGAGGATGCGCCGCCTCCACTCGGCGCGCGGCGACCGCCGTCCACTCCTTCCGTGGCTCTGCTTTTTTCGCCGATTCGCCGTAGCCCGCAGCAAGTAAGGTAGTCGGCAGCGCCAGCCTCCAAGGGTCGCGGCTCCATCCAACCGATGCCCCTACCGCCTGGCCCTCAGTCTCCTACCCAAGAAGACGCTGAGCAGGAGCGCGCCGCGCCGCTATATGCAGCAGGAGCACCGCCGCCGGTAGAAGCTCAGCTGATCTACATCGTGTCTCTACAGATCTGTTCCTTCTTAATTGATTTCTTTGTTTCTGGATCGATTCATGGGAGCATTCTTATTTGGTTCCTTTGTTTCTGGTTCGATTCATGGGTGATTTCTTTTGGCTGTGGATTGATTCATGGGAGAGAAACAGTATAGTCTGTGGATCGATTTATTTTGGCTGGGCACGCTCTGGCTTGCTCGGGCTGGGACCCCGTCGTGTATGGAGTCCCGTCTGTCTTGGGGTCAGGGGACGGGAGCAAACCTCCCCTTGAGGTTTGACGGGACGGGATTTCTCTGCCCGTGCGGGGACGGGATGGGGAGGCGATCCCCGACGGGGAATTCCCCGTTGCCATGTCTAGCAGCCCACTTGCATCGCTATTTCTAGTATATCTGGTGTAGTTTAAAGTCTCCTATAAGTATATCTTTTGCATGCTTGGTGTTTTCAGTGAGCTAACAACATAACATTAACATAGAGGCAGCGCCATTTCCTGCTTTAGCTAGTTTTTGTCAGTGACAATGGTCATCCAAGCTACAGGAAAGTTCTCCCTTTTTTTCTGGGGTGTTTGTTTTGTTCCTTTCATCTAAAATCATGAATCAAAATACACAATGACAGATAATGGTATATCTTATATACTATAAAGTTCCTGAATAACACATGGAAGTCAATATAGTTGTTACTTGTTAAGCCTCAAATCCCTTTCACTCTCTGTCCATTTCTTGAGCAATCTTTCCTTGACATTGTAGCCAATATTTGCCCATGCTTGGATTTTAGTATATTTGATTAGTCGTGGATTTCTTGGCACTGATCTGGTGAGATTTTCATGTCTGGGATTCTAGACTGGATTACTTTCCTTGCATTAGAGATACATATATTCCTTGGCACATGATATGGTAAAAAATGACTTCCATGTAGCTTTATTGTTCCTTTTAAGCCCCGTTTGACATCCATAGGCTTATGGCTACTGCCTAATTTTACTGGGTTACATACCATCTGTTTCCTCCATGCATAGTTTTCTTTTGTGATACTTTGCATTTAGAACAAATTTTGGTTCAACTGAGAAGTGTTTGTTTAATCGATAAAGTGGTGAAAGTTGCTGCTTTTCGCATCATTTTTGTGGTTGCCCCTGTTTGAATTTCTTGTTAATTGCATCATGTTATATGTCTCGTTGTTCAATGTAGGTCCCCCCCGCCACACACACACAAATTGTTGCTCATAGGAAGTTGGATAGGGATGCACCATGTGTCTTGGAGCATATGGACAAGGCTGAATATAGAACCCAATAAACCATAAAAAACATGTCTCGTTGTCTGAACATCTAAAAACCTACAAGCCCTTTAGTTACAGTTTGCTCTGCCACATCCCATGTGGAGCTCCTGCCTTTTCAACCTAATTACTGATGAATTCTGTTTTCTTGAAGCTGTATCTATTATCAAATAATCGTACTGTCGACAGAATATCGTCGGCAGTCCTCCGAGAGGTATCCCACGAAGGTAGATTGATCGGCAGAGGTGCGCGTAATCAAGAACAAGAAGGCAATAGAGACACAAGAGTTAGACAGGTTCGGGCCGTCTGCACGACGTAATACCCTATTCCTGTGGTATGTTGGTTTGTATTGGCTATTGTATGATATTGCGTGTGTTTTGAGGGGGTCCCCTACCCGTTTTATATAGCCGGGGGTAGGGTTACAAGTCGGTTAGATCTAGGAGATAACCGGTAAGTAATAACAGATTACAGGAATTACGGGATCGAGCATATCCTAACAGATCTCGTAGCATCTTCAGGATATCGCCCTTGATGTCTTGCGGTACACGCCGAGCAGTACCGTGCACCGTAAGTCTTCATCTTGTGGACTGAACCACCCCTGGCGGCGCAGCCCGTGTAGTCTGCCGTGGGTATCTGGGGTCGTACCCCCCACACGTACTGATTGTATGCTAAAAAAATTTAAGGAACAAAAGCTTTCAAATAGCTTAACTGAAGCTTATGCTGATCTTGCGTGGTCGATGTAGAAATGCTTGAGTACTGGGATAAAATTTTCCTCTACCCATTATCAATGTAGCTAATTTACAAATAAGACGTAGTAGAGTACTCCCTCTGTCCCATAATACTCGACCTTATAGCATTGTGAAGTTGTTCCAAATTAGTTGTCATTCTCACTTCCCAATGCACCTTTCTTTTTTTCAATACATCTCTGTCTCTATCTCTTATGGGAAGGAGGTAGTATGTTTTTCTTATGTAACCTCTTCATAGTTTTTTGTTTGCAGTAGCACATATTAAGGGGAATAGCTCTATGATGCTTTGATCATACAAGTTTCTTTTTAGCCTCAGTTAAACACATTTTTGTTAATTACTTAATTGTGTGTTTGATGTCCTGCTTTGAACTATTGCTTTACATAATTTATTTGTCATCCATATTTAGTTTGAATAGTAGCACTTAGATGGACACCTGATTATTAATGTTGAAAGTACAATCCCAATTTTGCTGTACAATATATCTAACTTCTTATGTTTGATTATGTGCAGGCTTCATAAGTATTGTTGCTTTATTGCTGCAATATTATTGTGCACAATGCCATCGACCTTACTTGATGGTCTCCCTAACGAAGTTGCTCTCCAGTGCCTTGCACGGGTGCCATTCTTGTTCCATCCGATGCTTCAGTTGGTTTGTCGCTCTTGGCGAGCATCAGTTTGCAGTGGCGAACTTTTCAAAATTCGGAATCAGATTGATGCGACAGAAGAGCTCTTGTGTGTGTTGGCGTTTGAACCAGAAAACATGTGGCAACTTTATGATCCCCTACGAGACAAGTGGATAACTCTCCCTGTCATGCCATCTCAGATTAGGAACATAGCCCGCTTTGGAGTGGCCTCAGTTGCTGGCAAGCTCTATGTAATTGGCGGTGGCAGTGATCGAGTTGATCCGCTTACTGGAGATCACGACAGGATCTTTGCAAGCAATGAGGTTTGGTCTTATGATCCGCTCCACCGAGTGTGGTCCCAGAGGGCTCCTATGCTTGTGGCTAGAGCGATGTTTGCTTGTTGTGCATTGGATGGGAAAATAATCGTCGCAGGAGGCTTCACTAACTGCCGCAAATCGATATCAAAGGCTGAGGTCTATGACCCTGAAGCTGGCCTATGGGAGCCTCTCCCTGACCTTCGTCTGGCTCACAGCTCTGCATGTACTGGACTTGTCATCAAGGGTAAGATGCATGTATTGCATAAAGGTCTATCGACAGTGCAGATTCTGGAAGATGGTGGCAGTCATTGGGCTGTTGAGGATTTTTCTTGGCTGCAAGGCCCGATGGCGATGGTTGGTGGAGAGCTGTATGTGCTGAGTAACAGCTGTATTATGAAGCAACGTGGTGAGAATTTCCCTGATAAGATGGTGTCGTGCGCATCTGAGTTTCAGAGCAGGATCGGTTTCGGGATGATTGGTATGGGTGACAACATATATTTGGTTGGGGGAGTGATTGGACCTGGGCCGAGAAACCAATGCATCAAGCCGCTATCAGATGTTGATATCTTGAACGTCACAAGTGAGAGACCAACCTGGAGACCAGGGTCACCGATGACACATTGTCGAGGGAGCATCTGCGGCTGCGCTTTGTTGAGGATTTAGCCTCTTCCCAGTGTGATAATGTGGTATTCCACCATTGCTGAACTGATTGGAGAAGTCCTAAGTTTTATTTTATTTTCAAAAGAGTTGTTAATTACGCTTTCCCTTTGGATCCCCTGTTGTAGCATTGAGGGCATGACTCAATGTCGGATTGCCAATGAGATATTATATACTATATTGACAGATTGGTGTTCCGAAGCGCATTATATGATTCATCATTTTCATATGGAATTTACATGCTTAGGTGCTGTCTAAATGACACCTTGCTGATCTGAATCGCTTCTGCTGCGAGATTGCTGCCCCCCCCCCCATGTATTGCTGGAGTGGCATTAGAGAATACGGTAATAAGGTGCACAATAATTCTGCGCGACCTTATTTAGCTTTGCGCGTTCTGCTGCCCTATCCAGGATGGCAGGGGAGTCTACGACCCAACAATAGTCTACGATCCACCCGATGTTCGACAGCAGCAGTAAGCGGTTGTTGCTGCAGCTGTGACTTTTTTTCCCTGTCTCAATTCACTGTACTAATACTAACAACACCGTAAGGCTGCAACAACATCTTATTGCTGCAGCCGAACAGGGTTGTCATGGGACTATTAACTAAGCGAAGCTGTGGGACCGTGGAGTTTTTTTTCCAAGTTTGCGTTTTTTTTTGTTAATTTGTACATTCACTTTGGCCAAACAACCCAAATACGAAAATATGAGAGATTTAATCTTTTCTTTTTTCCATTCCTCAAATGATGTGATTTCTTAATTCTTTATACGAACTCTATTCATGACATAACATGCCATCAAAATAGCCTCAACCTACCATTCCTTAGATAGACCCACTGTCTCCGACATGGCGTTAACCAACTCAGTTAGAGTGCGGTTCTTTCTTTCGACAATCCCATTGGACTGTGGTGAATATGGCGGTGTACTCTCATGAATAATTCCATGTTCTACACAGAAATCAGAAAATTCACTTTGAAAAATATTCTCCACCAGGATTAGACCTTAACCGTTTAACTTTCCTCTCAAGTTGACTTTCTACTTCAGCTTTATAGATCTTAAAGTAATAAAACACTTCATCTTTTGTTTTTAACAGGTACACATAGCAAAATCTGGTACAATTGTCTATAAAAGTCATGAAGTATCTTTTGACACCTTTAGTCAACTCCTCATTCATCTCACATGGATCGGAATGGACTAGTTCTAATGGCGCCAAGTTCCTCGTCTCCACAGCCTTGTGAGGCTTACGAGGTTGCTTAGATTTCACACACACATGTCACTTAGAACCTTTGACCAAATTAATTTTCAGGATTAAATTAAGATTTACAAGCCGCGATAGACAACAAAAATTAACATGACAAAGACGTGAATGCCAAATATTTGACCCATCAGGGATAATAGCATTGTTCACAATTTTATTACACACATCATCATGCAAGTATAAGCGGAACAAGCCTCCGCAATCATAACATTTACCAACAAAAGTTCCATACTTTGACAGTACATATTTATTGGACTCGAAGACAATTTTATAACCATCACGACAACAATGAGAACCGCTAACTAGATTCTTTTTGATGGAGAGGACATGATGCACGTTCTTCAGCAGCACCGTCTTTCTCGAAGTGAACTTCAGAATGACCGTACCAACATCAAGAACATACGCATGGGACCCATTCCCCCATCAGCAAGGCTCCAGTCCCGCCGACCTGATAAAAAGAAAACAAAGAGGCATCAACACACACATAAATATTAGCCCTAGTGTCCATCCACCACTCAGACGAATGACAAACTGAAAGAACAGTAGGTAAAGAATTACCATATCCATATGTTCCTCCTTCAGTCTCACTAACAACCATGTTTGCAGATTTCTTCTCTTGCTTAAATTTGCGGTCTGGGCATGAACTTGCCCAATGCTCATCACTCCCGCAAACAAAGCAACTACCATCTTTGTTGTTCTTTTTCTTCTTAAAAGTGGTTGTTTGTTTAGGCTTTGAGTTGTTCTCTTGCTTATTCTTCTTCTTATTACGAGATGCATTTGAATTTTTCTTCTGCACCATATTGGCACTAGAAGACTCAACGTCTTTCCCACGCGTGTCTTTTGCTCTCGCCCTCTCTCCAACATCAAGGGACCCAATAAATTTAGCCACGCTAAACTTTTGTCTCTTGTGTTTTAAAGAGGTAGCAAAATCCCTCCAAGAAGGTGGTAGCTTAGCGATTATACCGTCGGCCACAAACTTATCGGGCAACACACATGAAAACTGTTTGAGTTCCTTAGCCAGTGCCTGTATCTCATGAGCTTGTTCGACCACAGAATTGTTGTCAACCATCTTGTAGTCAAACAGTTGCTCCATAACGTACAGCTCGCTACTGGCGTCAGAAACACCAAACTTAGCATCAAGTGCATCCCATAATTCCTTGCCTAACATGTAACGGAGGTAGTTGTCCTCATACTTGCTATGAAGTGCACTAATCACGGCGCCTCGAAACAGGTTATCAGCTACCTTGAACTTTTCCTCCTCCTTAGGAGTAAATTGTTCAGGTTTTCCCTGTGCGGCTTGATAGCAGTTCATAGCAGTAAGCCACAACACCATCTTAGCACACCATGTCTTGTAATTTGTTCCATCAAAATAATTTGGCTTCAAAGCAGCAGCAAAACTACTAACAGAAAATTACCTAATATCAGGTTTTTGGATTGTTAGAAATTTAGGCAATTTCATGTTAAAATTAATCCAGAAAAATAATAACAAATTTGTGATGACAAATATGTGCACGTGTGTGATTTTAGTACTACTCAGATTAGCAGCAAATATGTTGATGAACATCATACTGATCATAGCGAAAAAGAGATTGAACTTAACCAATTTAAGAATAGAGATGTACCTTGCGGAGGGACCCATGCTAAGGCACTGGTGGCTCCAGACCCACTCATGGTGAGTTGCTCGAAATCGCAGACCATAGTCGGTACAGGAAGATGTACAATGTACCATCCCTCAAACGTCCACCGAAAAGTAGACGAAGCCGATCCGAGAAAGAATGGGCACCACCACGAAGGAGATGGAGACGTTCTGATGAAGATGAAGACGACGAGCGGTCGTGGAGACGCTCCCTAAAAACCTGATCGCCTGCACACACCCGAGCAGGTGTCCTGATGCGAACGCTGGTTTTGGAGGCTTGCTCTCCCAAACCTCCGAGCGCGCAGAGGATGGGACGGGGAGTACTCAAATGCAACTCGACCGGAGGAAGGAGTGGTATTGCGCGTGAGGCAACAGGGAGATGTGAGGGAAGGTAATGCCAAAGAGATCATGGAGACGAAGAGTCGAAGTGATTACTGAGTAATCACCACCGTAATGGAGGGTAACAGACCCATAAGTAACTCCTCCACATTAGCGCATGTACCCCTTCCTCTTTCTTAGCCAGCCCAAGTGGCAAAACCAACCCACACCCACGCACATTAGCGCTTATACCCCTTCCTCTTCCTTAGGCAGCCCAAGTGGTAAAACCGACCCACACCTGCACGACACGCATCGCTCGGCTCGGCGGCGGCGGCGGCGCGCGCACGTGTGGCACGCCTTTGGCCTCTTTCAACTTCTCTATAGGTGCACAAGTGTGTATCCTTTTTAAGTTGAGTCAACGATCAGTCAAAATCTCATACGGGACTAAAACTATATTGTAACACATCATTTAATATGGCCCTGGAATTAATTAATTTATTAAATAAAATATGGGCCTAAACCCATATAATATTCAACAAGGATCGATGCTTTGTCCACCTGCCAATTTTTTTTAAAAAAAAAAGCTTCAAGTTTTGATACGAACGAACAAACGTTCTCAAATCATCACGGAAGGATAAAAAAAATTGATGGCAGATATCTTCATTGCCTTGTGAATGGACGGAACCAGCGACTTGAGGATGAGGAACATCTCGTTGAGCTTCTCGCGGCGCTTTCGCTCTGATATGACGTGATTCTTGATGCCACTTATTTCCTGCGCTGTTCCCGTCGTCGTGCCCCGCCGCCACCACAGTTGGACCTAGTAGCTCTGCTGCCGGCCACCACTTTCTTCAGCAATTCCTGCGGCTCTTCGATGACCGGCACCGCTACCGCTTCATCGGAGCACGACTGCGAGGAACTCGTCCAAGCCATGAAACTGGTCGCGCGAGAGCGGTCAACTAGTGCGCTTGAGGTGTCGGCAGCGTTGTTAGTAGTAGCCCCCCGGGGGCGCGGTGGCTGCGGGGACGACGGGACTTCGAAATTAGACCCGTCCACTACGATGAACCTATCCTCTAGTGGTAGTGGCCGCACGTCCATTTCCTCGCAGAGGCTGTAGAAGTCGTCGATCTCCTTCGTGATGTACTCCAGGCTTGAATTGAACAGGCTGACGGGTTCATTTCCGGCGGCAGTCATCGTCTCCATGGCATTGTGACCGAGGTCCTCGAACACAACAATGTCTGCGACCTCGCCGGCTTCGTTTGCTGACGGGTTGGAGCTCGGCTCTTGCAAGTATATCGGACATTGCGGCTCCAAGAAAGCTGCGGTTGCTCGGCTGACTAAGTCCAGGTCCTCCGGCACCTGGCAATATCATTTAGTTTGGTGATACTAATATCATTGTAAAATTTCTCCTTTTCAGGCCCCGTTTGGCTTGCTGAAACTTGGCTGAAAACACTGTTCTGGCTGAATTGTTGTGAGAGAAAAACACTGTTCCGACTGAAAAAACTAAGATAAATAGTACGGATTATAAGATAAGCCGAACGAGCCACTATATTGCCAGTGAACAACTGAACATACCGTATCAGTGGTACCCAGCTCAAGCACGCCATCCATAAAGGGGATGCAGACGATTGACTGCGGAAATTAAATACGATCCAGGGTGCCGTTAGTTGTAGCAGTGAGAAATCTTCAGACTACACAGTCTGAAAGTGCCCTGTGTAATGTTTCCGACGAGACGAAGCATGGAAAGCGCTTACCTGAATGGACGCGCTCTGCTTGACCGTACGTAGGCACCCAAGGCCACACATGCAGGAACCAAACACGTAGTTCACGATGATTCAACAAACAAATATTGCAACCGCGCGACTAGTGAAAAACATGCATGAAAGGCAAAAATATATGGGTGTTGCTCAAATTCATGTGCCTGAATTTTGTCTTCTTTTCAGACGATGGTTATTGCATACATTTTAGGTTAAAATTGCAGCTTTAGTCTGTTGTAATTTGAGTATGCATAATTTGCAATTTTTGGATCCGAGAATAAAAAACTCGATAGACAAAACTACAAACCTGACAAAATCTAATAAATGTTGACACAAAGACAATTAACAATTTATAATCTTTCTCTATAGTTAGACAAGGACAAAAAGTTAATATATTGTAACACAAAGACAATTAACAAATTATAAACAAATTACAAGAGAACAAATACAATGTGGTTGTGCCACATGGCCAGCATGTCGTCTGATGTAACTCAAATTCTCAGGCACATGACGTTTAGAAAAGATGAAAATATATAGACGAGACACGGAGAATATAATGCAGATCGAGCGGTCTTTCCCGTCAGAACAACTAAGAAATGCGCATGCATACCTTGGCCAGGAGCGCGCGGGGGAAGGCTTTGCTGCCAGCGAGGTGCGCGTTGCACAGCCAGACATGCTCGTTGCTCTTAAAACTCGTGCCGGGCAACCTGTGGCAGCACAAAAAGCATAGGTCATGCACATCACGAGCATGTCTGGATCGGCGAGGTGCTCTCAAGGTGCACGCTCTCTCCCTCTCTTGTTAGTCTCGTACACTCATCTAGATCGGGGAACGGCGGGGGAGAGCATTAGAGATGCCAGAGTTGGCCGTGTGGTGCGGCGGACGCTGGATGTGTGACACGGAGGGGAGGTGGATACGTTGCTGCACAAACATCTCCCGTGCAGTCCGATGGTGGATTTCCTCCACGCGCATGCTGTAGTAAAGTTCAATATATATTCATCGAGATGAGGATGCTACATTGTGTTGCATTTATTGTTCGTGGAAGAAGACGGGAACCGAAGAAAAAACAGAACGAACATACAGGAGTTGGGTCAATACTGACCATCGGACGGATAAAGAAAGGCATACCCAGTAACATGTACTAATAACCAGTATTCTATTTGTTTCAAATTATAAGTCGTTTTGATTTTTTTTTAAAGAATTTGCTATGTCCATAAATATGTGTTGTTTAGATACATAGAAAAATTTGATGTAGAAAAATAGTCAAAATAACTTATGATTTGGAACAGATGGAGTAAGTGCTACGTTGTGTGCTTGTCAATGCCGATGTATGTGCTTGTCACATCTTTCTCTTGATTTAAATGGAGCAATATTCTCATATGTATGTGCTTGTTGATACCGATGTGAATTGTAATAATATACTCCATCCGTTTTAAATTATAAGTCGCTTTGATTTTTTTTTGTATATTCATTTTGCTATGCATCTAGATCTAATATTATGTCTAGATACATAGTAAAATGGATAAACCAAAAAAGTCAAAGCGACTTATAATTTGGAACGGAGAAAGCATGTCTATTGACAAAGATGCTACGTTGTGTTATATTTGTTGCTCGTTTGAGAAGACGGTAGCCAAGAAAACAGAATGAACATACAGGGGCTGGCGGCCTAGGTCAATAGTGACGATGTGACGGATAAAGAAAGACATACGCAATAACAAGTAGTACACTAATACTAGTACTAAACGGAGGGAGTAAATGCTACCTACAGAGGAAAAATGACACTTGAACTTCCTCGAAAGTGTTGGGTGATATTACAAACCGATACTTATTACTTGGCCATAAGTGACAGCTGACAGGTGCTTATAGTGATGTGGTCCTATTGACTGTTACATTTAAGTGATGAATTAGTCACGCGTGTATTTTTTTAACTTGTCATCAATGACGCACGGGGTGACAAGACGCCGTCACTACTGACATTTCTTTTTCATGAAGTGACTGGCCGGGAAACTGCTTGTTGTACGCCATAAAAGAATTGTTAATAAATTTTTTAAATGATGAATCTGTCACGGTCCTGCCCGAAGACCTTTCACTATGTTTTTAATTAGATGAAACGGTTACATCGCACCTATATTTATAGTTCGTAGAGGACTTATATCCTAACCAAATGAAGAGTCTCTATAGATTTGGACCCTCCTTTCCTAATAAACCAATTCTATTTTATTTTATTAAAAAATCTTTATTCTAAATTTTCATCTAAATTGGAATCTCCCGGATAGACGTACGCTACAGTACCCACGGGGGTACTGTTCACACCAGGCCCTATTGGCCAGCTTTGGGGCCCATCAGGGCGCCTTGGCCATCCAGGGCTTTCGGGCTTTGCTGGGCTCAGCCAGAGGCTCGTATTTAGGCCTGGAATAACATGATGTTCACTCATATAAAAGCGTTTGTGTACTACTAGTATTCATTTGCCCTAACTTTTCCAAAATGTTTTAAATGATCTAGACTAGAGGAGTAGTAGACATGCTGCTTGTACGTTTCCAAGGTCTCAATGTCTCATAGCAGCAGGACGATTGGACGAAGACGCATAGCGCGTGACGGCAGCAGGACGATTGGACGAAGACGCATAGCGCGTGACTGCGGAGAACCATGTGCGAAGGTGAAGCTACGGCTACGAACCACCAGTGTGCAGTATAGAAATAACCGACACGCCCCTGGCTCCTCTCGGAGTAAATTTCGCAGGGTCCATTGGTCGCCGTCTCGAACACAGAATCAGACTATCTGAGTGATCGGGGCTTCGGGGCTTGGGAGAGCACTGCACAACCTATTAGCTGTCGGGCAATGATTTTTGCATGTCAGAGCCTGCTCCAGGGAGGCAAATAAAATTAGGTTTTGATCAGATGATTTCTGCTTTTAGTTTGAGTAGCGTTTTTTTTCTGGACGAAGGGAGTACATGTTTCCGTCCGAACTTCTTTTTCTTGACAAAAATTGAAGTGCAGAACCCTGCAAAAACACCTGACAAAAATGTGTTGTATAGCACGATTTGGGCCCTTCTCCGCAAGAAATACAACTTCGCTTCGATTCATGAAGCTCTCAGCTGTCCCTAAATCGCTTCCCTATAGCTTTACGAAGAGCCTCGCTGATCATCCAGGGCACGACGGCACCGGAGCCTGCAAACTGCATAGAAATTGAACAGAAACAACTGCATCAGTAAACCAAACTTTCCAACCAGCAAGAAGTCAAGGGTGAGCTACATGACTGCTAATTAACCAGAGGAGTATTGCAATTTGCATTTCTTAGTTAGCTGGTGATACCTGAGCTCGTATCTTAAGCCCCATGAAGCCATCTGGTGCCGAAGCCTGAACCGAGAGAACGTCCAAATGGAGGCTCTTGATGGCGTCGAACACTCGCGTCATCAGGAGCTCCTCCCACCGGCATTGCACCTCTAGGAGCACGTCCCTGTCCGAGACGGCGACGGTGACGTTGCTGGTGCCGTCCTTGGGGAGGACCCAGGGGTGCTCCTTCTCCACGTCACCGCCGAAATCTGGGCTCTTCCTCTTGGAGCCCGCACAGAGTTTCTTGCTGACACACTCGTTGCCACGGGCTTTTGTTATTGGCCTTGTCGTTTCGAATGGACGCGATGTAAGTTCCCTACTGGACTCCAGCTCTTGTACCCTTCGCTGAAGCTCCTTGAGGTAGGCTATAGTTTCGGCGAGGACTGATGCTTTGTCCACCTGCCAAATTTTTTTTAAAAAAAAACGTCTTCAACTTTTGAACTTTTGATAAGCAAACAAATGTTCTCAAATCAACACGGAAGGATAAAAAATTGACGTTGTGTTCTTCAGTACCTTGTGAATGGACGGAACCAATGACTTGAGAATGAGGAACATCTCGTTGAGCTTCTCCCGGCGCTTTCGCTCTGACATGACGTGATTCTTGATGCCACTTTCCTGGGCTGTTCCCGTCGTGCTCGTGCCCACACCACCACCATAGTTCGCCCAAGCATCGCGGCCTGCCACCACTTTCTTCAGCAATTTCTGCGGCTCTTCGATGACCGGCACTGCCGCAGCTTCATCGGAGCACAACTGCGAGGACCTCGTCCACGACATGAAACTGGTCGAGCGAGAGCCATCAGCTAGGTTCCCCTGGGGCGCTGGTTGCGGGGACGAGGGGACTTCGAAATTAGACCCGTCCATGATCCAGCCATCCTCTAGTGGTAGTGGCTGCACGTTCATTTCCTCGCAGAGGGTATAGAACTCGTCGATCTCCTTCGAGATGTGCTCCAGGCTTGCGTTTGACAGGCTCTCCGCTTCTCCTAGCTCCTGTCCGTCTCCCCCAGCGACGGCAGCAATCGTCTCCATTTCCATGGCATTGTGATCGAGGTCCTCGAACACAACCATGTCGTCTGCTGCGGCCTCGCCGGTTTCGTTTGCTGACGGGGGGTTGGAGCTCGGCTCTTGCTCTTCGGAGTATGTCGGACATTGCGGCTCCCAGAAAGCTGCGGTTGCTCGGCTGACCAAGTCCGGATCCTCCAACAACTGGCAATATCATTTACAGCAGTTTGGTTAAATACTACCTGATCTCCAGGAGAATTAGGCACAATGAAAAATAAATAAAAAATCTAGCTGTTATTTACGCTCCTCTTCCGGTTCAGCTAGCTGTTATTTTCAGATAATAATGTATACAATATATATATAAATGGCTAGTGAAGTGAACAACTGAACATACCGTATCAGTTGTCCCCAGCTCAAGCACGCCACCCATGAGCGGGATGCAGACGATTGACTGTGGAAATTAAAACGATCCAGGATTCAGTTACACGTTGCAGTCAGAAATCTGCAGACTACACAGTCCGGAAGTGCCCTGTGTTTGTGTTTCCGACGAGACGAAGCATGAAAATCGCTTACCTGAATGGACGCGCTCTGCTTGAAAGGCCACACATGCAGGTACCACACACATAGTTCATGATGATTCAACAAAGATCGCAACCGACTAGTGAAAACATGAATGAAAGGCAGAAATATATATAGACAAGACACGGAGAATGCAGATCGAGAGGTGTTTCCAGTCAGAACTGAGAAACATGCATGCATACCTTGGCCAGGAGCGCGCGGGGAAGGCTTTGCTGCCGGCGAGGTGCGCGTTGCATAGCCAGACATGCTCGTTGCTCGCAAAACTCCTGCCCGGCAACCTGTGCCAGCACGAAAAAAATTTGTTACCATCTATTTTCAGGGGCATCAGCTATATATATATGCTTGTTGTATCGAGCAGTAATCGATACCCTTGGCCAGGCCGGAAGGCGTAGGTCATGCAGATCACGTAGTACCACTCGGTGTCGCCTGAGGTCCTCCGGCGACAGCGAGCCGACCAACCTCGCCGGCGCCGCTCGACGGTCGCACTCGCCGGACAGGAGGGCCTCGTACAGCTCCCGGAGCTGCTCGCTCCTCTGCATCACGAGCTGGTCGGCTGTCAGCTCCACGGAGTTGGAGATCTTCCGCGTCTTCACCTCGCCGTTGTAGAACCCGTCCGTCCACGTCAGCACCCTGCAACCAGATTTTCTCATCCGACTTCTAAGGGCGTCCCCAACGGTGTCCAGCTCAGCAAGCTAGGAGGAGCACCAGGCCAATCAGGAGGAGAGAGAGACAGAAAATCCACAGCGCCAGCGAGGAGGAATCGCTTAGCTCGCACGTTTCTCGAGAGTTTTCAAGTCCCTGATATACCTCACCACTATCTGACTTTTATTTTTTTAATTGTTATTAGGCTATATACGTTAACCGGCGATTTACCAAGACCGTTGCGGACGCTCTAAGGGAAAACTTTTTATACAGTATATAGTAGTACTAGGTATCTATACCTCCTATCTGTATATGTGTGTGTCTTTTCCCAAAAAAAAATTATGACCCTAAAATGTATCACTTTTTGTACATTTGATTGAAAGTCCAATATTAAAAGGCGGGTGAGATGATAAAACCATATTTGAATTTCTTAATGTTTTTTCTCTGTGGAGATTTTTTTTTGGTTTCCTCTAACATCATTTCTTCTTTGCACCTTTTTTATTTGTCGTTCTCGCTTACGAGAAGTCAACGACTCAACTTTGACCAAATATATTAATATTTATAGTACATAATTAGTATCATTAGATAGGTCGTTGAATTTATTTTTATAATAAACTTAATTGGAGATAAAAGTATTTTCTACAAACCTAATGATGCTTGAGAAAGTTTGACCAATCGTTTTTCCATAGCTGACAGATAAAAAAGGGTAGAAAAGTATAGCATTATATTATTTAGAATAAAATAAATATGCCCTCAGATACATAGTGTTCCCTTTTATCGGATGAGACAGAAATCTTTATTGCGAGATGTGCATCTGTCAACATGACTTTTTATATTATTTTAATATAAGTATTGAATGCATGATATATGAATTACTCCTTCCGTTATCTAGACATGACTTATATCTAGGTAATGCGTAGCAAAAGCTACAAATCTAGAGAAAATAAAAGCATTTATAGTTTGGAACAGAGGGGTATTAATTATTAGCATATTTTGAAATATAAATATTAGCAGGAATTTCTTTGGAAAACTCAAAGTGTAGTAGAGTTTCACAAGCTTATATATGGACCTCAACTTTTTAGATTTTGTTGTCGTTGAATATTTAGTAGTTTCACCAAAGAAGAACAGAATCAATGGCTCTGTTTCATTGTTATATAAGCCGCTTGTCTTTGATTTGTATGACTAATTTGTTGGGAGAGAAATATAATTGCATTCATGGTGATAAAGCCCGGCTTATAATGGCAGCCAACGGCTTATAATTGTTAGTATTTGCTAAAACGTGTGAAAGAAGAATTTTCTTGAGAGACAGAATAATAAATGGCTTTACTAGTTTCCAGTTGCTCATACGTACACTTCTATTAGTCTGTGATCTAAACTTGCATATAGTTTCAGCTCAAAACTGTGGTATTACAAGTGGAAAGATGGGAGTTGTCCAGTTTGGTAATGGTAATAACACTGCATATATATGTCCTGTTTCGCTAGCGATAAGCCATAATTCGCAAAAAGATTGTTGGTTGATTTGTTGTGAGAGAAAAAATCTGTTCATTGGTTAAAAAATGCGAACATAAAGCCTGCAGGCGTACATATGGCGATAGCTACAAGTGGAAAGACGTCTCAAAAGAAAACTACAAGTGGAAAGATGGGAGTTCCCAGGTAGAGAAGACACATCACGTGACGACGTGAGTTGAAAATCGATCCAGTACTCTCTTAAATCGAGGAGATTGAAGAGTAGGAGTAACAAAGTTTCATTCAGTAACTAAATTGGATGTAAAACCTGGCGACATCATTGCAAACAGAAAAAAAACTAACCATTTTCTGCAAAAACGATAAGTAAATGACTACAATCGCATCACCGGATCCGACTCCCTTTATTTGATATGTATGTATGCGCTGGGAGCCTGGGATATAAAGCTCATGCAAATGATGTGACGACTGACGATCATTCATCAAAGTTGCAGAAAACTGCCAAGCAAATATCAACTGTATATTATTAAGACTTCAATTTACCCTGGTTGAGTGCTTGAAATGGACCAGAAGAGGGCATAGCTCCAGTTGATGCTCCTCGCGGCTGCAGCGAGCTGGTTCCTCAACTGCCTCTCTGCAGGCTGCAGCAGCTCTTCTTCCTGAACCGGGAAGCTGAAAGCGCCATGGCGCGCCTTACTATCCCTTCACGCAGAAGCCAGAAACTGATGATGTTACTATAAGAGACGGAGAAGAAGATCATTAGAAGAATATAATTCCAGCTCGTGCAATTTGCAAGTAACCATTTTCATTTCGTGTACCTGATACTGTAGTCTGTAGGCTCTAGCTGCACAAAGTGACAAAGAGAGTACAACAACTCGATTCAAGATCAGTATTATATTGCTTATTATTATCTACTGATCATCAGACGATCCC